TGGGCAAGGTCAATAGCCTTAGAGAAACAACAAAATTGATTTTCATACATTTTTGTTAGAAATAAACATATGTAGAAATTCAGTTATATTCAAATCAAATATGCCAATTCACCTGAAGACAAATGCATTCGATGAATATATGCTACCAATCACGGCTGCCAAACTTGGACACTAAAAAAGAGATAATATCTAAACTCAAAGTCAGTCACGGGTCAATTGAGCGATGCATGCTAGGTATAACAAAGAGAGATCGAAGTAGAATAGAATGGATCAGACAGAAAACCAAGGTTACTGATGTAATCCGTAGAATTAAATCTTTAAAATGGCAGTGGGCAGGACATTTAGCGAGAAGACCTGACAATAGATGGTCCACTAGAATAACACTGTGGTATCCAAGAGGTGTCAAAAAAAAAGAACAAGAAGATGGGACTATGACATAATGAAACAAGCCGGTACATCATAGCACAGAAAACCGAATTTTAGACAATCGTGGTCAGATATGAATATATATATATATATATATATATATATATATATATATATATATATGTATGTATTTATATATGTATATATATAATATGTATATATATATAATATATATATATATATATATATATATATATATATATATATATATATATATATATATATTCTACATCTATAAAAAATCGAGACAATCTGTAATCTATTAAACGACAAGCTGTGATCGGAGTTTCCTAGATATCAATTTAAAGAAAATTTTTAAAATATTTCTAAACGATGCGATGGCTACCAAAACATATCTCCTTAATAACAATCACTTTTACAATGAAGCTTTAATAAATATTCCACAACCAATTACATTTAAAAAATACCTTACATACAAAATTTGACAGACCAAATTGTTCCACTTTTACTACTCGACCAACTCTACCTACAACTTTTATAGATAATTTTAAGATCTATTAACAACATAAGATATGCAGATTACACCGTGATTATGGCAAGCACTTCTGAACAACTCCAATTACTGCTAAACAAAACAAACAGTTTCTGTGAAAAATATAGCAAGAAATGCGTTTGTGAAAATGAAAACAATTCTCTGCAACAAAGACCTTAGATTAGAACTGAGAGTAAGAGCACTGAGATGCTACGTGTTTTCGATACTGCAATATGGACTTGAAAGCTGGACATTGAAGCAAGAACATGTTTTATATATAACAAATAAGTTACAGTCCTTTGAAATGTGGTGTTACAGGAGGATGCTTAGAATAGCATAGACACGGAATAGAAGAAAACTAACACGGAAATATTGCGATAAATGGGCAGATAATGCGAAATAATAAACACAATAAAAAAAAGAAAGTTACAATATCTGGGACAACGTAATAAGGGGACAGCGAGATGAACTACTAAGTGATAATACAGAAAAAAATAAGTGAAGGAAGAAGTATAGGAAGAAGAAGAGTGTCATGGTTGAAGAATTTAAGGAACTGGTTTAAATGCAGTTCTATAGAACTCTTCATAGCAGCAGTAGATAGAGTAGAGATGGTGATGATGGTATCCAACCTCCGATTGGAAGACAGCACTTAAAGAAGAAGATAAATTTAACATGTTCCTCATTATTTTTCATTCCTCTAATATTAATTGCATGTATACACTATATAATATCGATAATACTGTCATAATAATAATTTGTTACTTTAACCTATTCACTACAAATTGTTTAATATAAGACTTACTATTGCAGTTATCATCAACATCAACTCCTAAATAAATTAAAATCAAACAAATCACAAAATCACAAAACAACAAAAGTAAAAGTAGAAGAAAACCTAAATGACCCAATTAAAGCTGATAATGGGATAAGACAGGCGGATTTTCAGGTCTCTATTGATCGACCTCATTATACATATATGAAACAAAAAAGTAGGAATTAAAAAAGATACCAAACAGGAGAAAAAAAACAACTAAAATATTCTACTATGGAGAAGATTTAATACTAATTTTAAGTGAAGATGATTTGCAATTTATCCTGCACCAATTTAATGTAACCGCCAAAATATTTAACATGGTAATTTCTCCAAAAAAGACAAAATGCATGATTGTACCAGCACATCTACTAAGATGTAAATCAAACCTGGAATGTCAGATAACAGAACAAGTGATGGAGTTTAAATATCTGGGTATCAGACTATCTAGATACGGGCAGCTCAAAACAGAATTGGAAAATCAAGTGAATAAAGCAAACAGATATATAACGCATATTACCTAAATGAAACAATAGGAAGAAATAAAGATATCGGTAAAGACATGAAAGGCAAATTTACAAAACAATCAGACAAATAATGACATACGTAACAGAAATACGACCTGGCACAGAGAGAACAAAAATAATGCTCAAAATAGCAGAAATAAAAGCCATTATAAAAATCAATGATAAGACACTATGGGACAGAAATAAAAGTACATATATATGACGTAAATGCAAGGTGGAGAACAACATTAAGGACTATGTAAGGAATACTCATCAACAAAGAGTTAAATGTTATGATGATTTAAGCCGAATCACAACACAAAGAGTAGTAAAGACGGCCAGAGACCCTCTCCAATAGAAAGGTAGTCAGTGGGAAGTCTATGAAAACGATGGAATGAAAACTTACTGGAAGCACATTAAACAACAGACTGAGTCATGTCTATCAAACAATATATATATATATATATATATATATATATATATATATATATATATATACAAGAAATACTGGATATTAATTACAGTGTTTTTACTTAAAGGTAAGGACTACAAGTTTTACTATTTTTACAATAAATTTTAAACATTTTATAATGTATTCTGTCCATAATTGTATATTTTAATGTGTGTTATAAATGTTGAGTGTCCATTCTTATATAAATAATCTCAACGACTAGTAAGTTACACTGAAGAATTGTGATATTTTTTAAATATTTACATATTTGTCTTATTACAGTGTCTTGAAAAAAGGAATAAAACCATTCCGAAAGCTCGACAACAAAGTCAAAAGAGTGTTTTTTTTAACATCCCGGCCAATTTTCTGACTGCAACCCTAATAAACTGTGTTATTTTGTTTAAATTTTGTAAATTGGAATATATCACCATAAACTATACTTACTTGCATATGTGAAAACAGGATAATAAATAAGAAAAACAAATGGCAAAACAAAAACAGAGAAAATTAAATTTTTAAGAGAAAGTAGAACAGTGATAAAGCGGAATAGATATTTAGTGACTAATATGTATAACCATCTATTACCCTAAATGAAATGACAAGCTTGCCAAGACCAAAAACCATGCTCACTGGATCGCTGGACGGCCACACATTTGGAGAAAAGGCATTCTAGAAGCAAACATAAAGGTGATCTACGGAGAATGCTACATATCGCGACTTCTTCTAAAGCTGCATCATTGTAGAAAGACCTCTCGAATGTCCTACTGCACAGGGCATCTAAGATCAAAAATAGGTAAGCCCTTCGCAATGTTATGTCTCAGTTTAAATGGAGATGGAGGTAGCTTGACGGGTCAAAATAACGTTCTTCACGTTCCCACGGAACGTGATCCCTTTAATGTTAGGACATGAGAACATCTTACTCCGGGAATGTTTCTTGGATCGGGAATTTACTTTGTTGGGAGTTGGGTATTTTGAGAGTATGCGATTTTGTGTGTTTGCGGACATATCAGTAGAGTCGACTTAGAACAATGGTTAAGTAAAATTACAGAGTGGAATCTGATATGTAAGGAGCACCCCGAAGATCCTTATAATTGGACAAACCACGTAGCACCATTGGTAAACAACACATAGCAAGGTATATTGCTAAACCAAATATAGCTGTGAAATAAAGTTGTGAAATTGTACTTAGTGTCAGAAAGCATAGTAACTTCTCTTTAATAATTTTATAAGTATTAAGTCAAAAATAACATTCGCTTGCAGTTTTAGAAGATAATGCAGCAGTCATCTTGTATCTACGAGATCTTCTGAAGACCAAAAAAGTAAACATATGGTCTATATCACTATGAAAATAATTGAAGTTTACTAAAAAGTGACTCCGTAGCATCTAATTATCTTAAACCTAACCTTGCAATCAAATTTTTCGAACCATTATACTTAAACATTATAAAAAACACTAATGTTGTTATCAGCGTCGATCCAATGAATTCTTTTTTAAATAGCCAGAGAAACAATGAAAAATACTCTAATTTATGTTTCTGTTTAGGTCTTACAAACTGTTTCCATAGAATAAATTAAAAACAAATCATTGACGAGTTTTACGGGAGATTACATGAAATCAACTTTAGGTTAAGAATCACTGGCAGACAGGTAATGAAAGCATCAGTCTTATTTGATCTGTGTACATAAATGGTGATATATTCAGTAGCACTATTAGCTTTTTTTCCATTTTATTTTATTCAGATATTTTCTAATATAGTAACTAATCTTTTGCTCTTTTGATTTCACAATTACATGTATTAATTACATGTTGTTACATTATTTTGTAATTACATGTATATAAATATCATTTCATTATCTTATATTGTTGTACTACTGTTGCATTTTAAAAAAGTTTACCTAAATTAAGTTTAACTACCGTTTTTAATTAGTTCTAAAAAAGATCAATTAAGAAGCGAAAAGAAAAAATATAGTTCGTAATATTGCAAGAATTATAGAAAATAATAAAAATTTCTTTATAATTCTGTAATAGATCGTTTTAAGTAAATCTTTTTTTTTTTTAATATTTCTAACTGATATTTTTAATAAAATATCTAAGAATAATACATAAGTATATTTTAAGTAACCCTGTATATCGAGTTTTGTATCTATAGATGTAATGCCGAGATTTGGTAAGCGAAAATTTGAGTAACGCTCTGCGCCACTGTCCGCGGCGGCTATAAAACCACGTCTCTGCGATTCTAACATTCAGTCGCATTCAAGCTTATTAGCTGTGTTTTTCTGTCTAGTGAGCAGTGATCAACCACAAAAGACAACATGTGTGACGACGATGTTGCGGCTCTTGTCGTTGACAATGGATCCGGTATGTGCAAAGCTGGATTCGCCGGAGATGACGCACCCCGTGCCGTCTTCCCCTCAATCGTCGGTCGCCCAAGGCATCAAGGTGTCATGGTTGGTATGGGACAAAAAGACTCATACGTAGGAGATGAAGCCCAAAGCAAAAGAGGTATCCTCACTTTGAAATACCCCATTGAACACGGTATCATCACCAACTGGGATGACATGGAAAAAATCTGGCATCACACTTTCTACAATGAACTCCGTGTAGCTCCAGAAGAACACCCAGTCCTCCTCACTGAAGCTCCACTCAACCCCAAAGCCAACAGAGAAAAGATGACCCAAATCATGTTTGAAACCTTCAACACACCCGCCATGTATGTAGCCATCCAAGCCGTACTCTCCTTGTACGCTTCTGGTCGTACCACCGGTATTGTATTGGACTCTGGAGATGGTGTCACCCACACCGTACCAATCTACGAAGGTTATGCTCTTCCCCACGCCATCCTCCGTTTGGACTTGGCCGGTCGTGACTTGACCGACTACCTCATGAAGATTCTTACTGAAAGAGGTTACTCATTCACCACCACCGCTGAAAGGGAAATTGTCCGTGACATTAAAGAAAAACTCTGCTATGTCGCCCTCGACTTCGAACAGGAAATGGCCACCGCTGCTGCTTCCACCTCCCTCGAAAAGAGCTACGAATTGCCTGATGGACAAGTCATCACCATTGGTAACGAAAGATTCCGTTGCCCTGAAGCCCTCTTCCAACCTTCCTTCTTGGGTATGGAATCTTGCGGTATCCACGAAACCGTATACAACTCCATCATGAAGTGCGACGTTGATATCCGTAAGGACTTGTACGCCAACACTGTTCTTTCTGGAGGTACCACCATGTACCCAGGTATTGCCGACAGAATGCAAAAGGAAATCACCGCCCTTGCTCCATCCACCATCAAGATCAAGATCATCGCTCCCCCAGAAAGGAAATACTCCGTCTGGATCGGTGGATCCATCTTGGCCTCCCTCTCCACCTTCCAACAGATGTGGATCTCCAAACAAGAATACGACGAATCCGGCCCTGGAATTGTCCACCGCAAGTGCTTCTAAGCTATTTAATCAATTCATACCTAATAAGCTATTTTTCATGTTGTTTGTACTGTGTTTACATCTTTGCAGTTCTTAAATATGCGACCGTGGTTGTAACTGCCAGACAGACTTTTAAGATCTTATAACACCTTATAATTATTTATTATTTGTTATATTTACTTACTATAACTATTTTGTAACTGGGCAGGTAAATAAATCCTATCTAGTACTAAACCTGCCTATTATTTCGATTAAGAACGAGAATATGATGTTATGTTAATTTTTTTAATAAAATTTTGGCATAGTTTATATACAATATACAATAAAATTCAAATTTTATTTTAATACACTCTTTTCTATCATCCCGACAAATCCTACAACACAAAAACATTCTATTCTTCAGATCTAAATTTAAAAAAATATATATATACACAGCACACAACCCTACATCTCCTAATCAGTACATGTTGATCTATTTTTATCCCTCTCTGAAACAACTCTCCTCTATGACTTAATATGTCCATATGAGTTATACAAACTAGAGGTAACTAAAGATCAACACGTCACTATGATATTTTTAACCGAAAGCTGGAAATAGCTGGCGATCTTTTTTTAAGACCTCGGTTATTCTAATATTTTAGTGAGTTGAACTTCAACTAGAGAATGCTATAAATAGATTTCAACAACTTATATGGTCACTGTTTCAGGATGTTAGCCCGTTCACACATCTGTTTCCTTTAATAACATCGTCGTCTTTGTCTATCTCTCGCCGAATGGTTAAAATAGTTCGGGTCGCTTAGGAATGCTTGGGATGTTTGGTTTGAACTTTTCTGCACTACACGCATACCTTATGAGATTTTTTTTGTTTTTAGTGAGATATTAATACTATAATGTATCTTTTCCAGAACGAGATTCATTCAAACTTTTCTAATAAAACTATGTTATAACGTTTAATAACACCTACTAATATAAAAAATTTTGAAGACAGTTAATCACTAAACATGAATTAATATCTTGTTCTAGTTTCTATATAATATTTTTGTTATTCATAGACATATAGAGAAGTTTACTTTAAACCAAATTTAATATTTAACATTTTTTCTTTTATAAATATTGTAAAAATATTATCTCTACTTGTTATGGAATACTATGCGTTTATTTCTTCTCCGGACTAACTCTTTGTTTTGGAATTAAACAGAATATATTGACATGTATAAATTTATTATATTAGAGGATGAAAATTACACTGCCTGTTATTTCTTAAAACTATGAATTTATAAGTTCTGTTATCTACAATTATTTAACGATGTTTCTGGATGGATTTGAGTACAAGAGATTGGACTCAAATATTAATATTAAAATAGCAAATACGGATAGCTTATCGAACAAAGAAATAAGAGAAATAAATTATTATTATTCCATAGATACGAAGTATTAGGCGAATAAACTAGCGAAACTTATTTATTCTAAATAGGAAAATATTTATGAAGAGTATTGATTCTGATTTCTAACAGCAAATAATTATTAGTGATTATACATGTGTTATGGAATACTATGCGTTTATTTCTTCTCCGGACTAACTCTTTGTTTTGGAATTAAACAGAATATATTGACATGTATAAATTTATTATATTAGAGGATGAAAATTACACTGCCTGTTATTTCTTAAAACTATGAATTTATAAGTTCTGTTATCTACAATTATTTAACGATGTTTCTGGATGGATTTGAGTACAAGAGATTGGACTCAAATATTAATATTAAAATAGCAAATACGGATAGCTTATCGAACAAAGAAATAAGAGAAATAAATTATTATTATTCCATAGATACGAAGTATTAGGCGAATAAACTAGCGAAACTTATTTATTCTAAATAGGAAAATATTTATGAAGAGTATTGATTCTGATTTCTAACAGCAAATAATTATTAGTGATTATACATGAGAACTTTTCATAATTGTAAATAACATATACCAGGTGACTAAAAACTATATAGAAATACATAGATACTTTAATTATCTTACATGTGAGTAGGTAGGTACATTACACCTCCTTTTGTAAGAATGAAAATAATTGTAAAATGAATTTTCATTTAAATGGTATAAAACATTTGTATACATTATTATTTTATTTTAACACATTTAAATAGTTTCTTTTAGTCTCGATAGTCTTTCACTTCGTCTTATCGGTGTAGTCTCTGTGAAACTAGTCTCTTCACACTTTTTGGATTCACTATAATTATTGTCTTTATTATGTTTACAATCTATACTTAAATCTGTCTCATGTACATGTTTTCGTTTACTTTGACATATATTTAGTGTTAAACAATTTGTAATTTGTTGACAACTATGTGACGGATTTCTACGAAATCGTCGGTAAAAATATTTAATTATCCTGTATAAAATATAAAGTAACATACATTTTATCAAAAATAAGATTGCATAAGTGAAATAAGAACTATTTTTTATTGTGTCTGAAAAATTAATATTTGTTTCTGAGGTCATTTTCTCTAAATTATCTAGTTTATGGCTTGCTAAATTTAATGCATCTCGATCGAGATTATTTAATTGTAAGGGAACAAGGTGTAATTTGGATTCATTATTTATCTTAATATCATCACAACAGACTTCTGGAAGGGATAAATCTGGAATGATAGACTGAAAATTACTTTCTTTTGGATTTGAGACAGATATCAAAATAGTTGATCCGGTGTAAGTTTTGCAATTATTCGAAGTAGAAAAAATACCTGTGTTTGAAAGAACAATAGATATTGGCGTACTAGTCTGACAGCTTAAAGTTAAATCTGTTGGTTTGGGTAAAACATATATCCAAGAATTTGGTTTGTTTAATTTATGCCAAATTTCATATTCTGTTTGAATTATACGAGTATCGCAACTAGATGGTATGTTTGTTATTGAAGTTAACAATTCAGTTTCACAAATTGGATTAGTGTGTGTAAATCGGAAAGTATCAGGATTTTTGCAAATAAGTTTTTCTTCATCTAATGAATAACAGTCTTCTAATGTATCAATAGTAACATAAATGTTTCTATTTTCTGAAAGAACAAGATATTTGACAGATGGAAGAATAAAGGTAAGTCTCTTTAATGTTGGATGAATTATAGGAAGAGATATTAGTTTAAAAAGAGAATAAGGAGTATTACTAACCAAAGGTATACTAACCGTAATTAAAATCTTGTTATCAAAATATATATATTTAAGTAAAATGATATCGAAATATTTATGAGCATAATCGATAGTCAATGGAAATGGATAAGTCGATGTACTAGGTAAATGCGTTACCGTTTTAGATAATTCTTGAATTAGTTGCTCAGGTGTTATAACAGAAGGATGAAGGTTATTATTTCTTGCAAATAGAATAACGTTTATTAGAGTAGAATATTCTTGTTGTAATTCTGTTATAAAGAAAGTTAGTAAAGTAAAATGTTCTTCAATTTTTTGTTTTAAATCTAAATTAAAATATTTATTATTCATTTTATCTGTGTAATTGGTAATTGATTCAAAATTTTTATCAAAAATCACTTTGTTTCGGTCTAGATTTGTAATAGAGTTATTAAAATTTGCAATCGTGGCTTTTACTACATGAATTTGTTGTTTTAGTAAATCAAGAAGATGATTTTCGTTACTTTCAGCTTTGTTAATAGCATTATTGAAATTTTCAGCATCATCACTGTCTAAAGTACCGAATAAGGTCCTGAAAACAGATCCAATTGCATTAAATAGAGCGCGTTTTGGTCTAAAATGTTCATGCAGAATTATGTTTTTTAAAGTTTGTTCATCTTGAAAGAGTCTAGGTATGATTTGTCCTAAGAGTTTTAGTGAAGTATCGCATAATCGTAATTCAATAAGAACTGGTTTGTTTTGACACAGTCTTAATGTTTTTTGATAGGTGAGATCTACAAAATTTAATTTGTCTGTAAAAGGTTGTAAAGGAATATGACTTAATATGTTCCAATGAGTTTCAATAAATTGAACATTTTTTATGTGTTCGTAATAGATTCCAGGTGATTTGTTGATAGGAGTATTGGTATATTTCTTGTGAATTTGTTCACTATTTGTCAGCCATATTATTGCATACCTGAAACAAAAGCATGTTTCAATCTATTCATGTGAACTTTTATTGGTTTTTTATTTACTAAAATTGTGCAATTGACAGGAGAATTTATCTCTAGAATTTTATAAGGTCCATTATAATTTTGTGTAAGTTTTTTGGTTTGACCCTTCTTTGTTTGCTCATTTTGGAGATATACTAATTGTCCTTCTAAGAAAACGGTGTCATTAATCTTTTGGTCATAATATTTTTTACTGACTACTTTAGATTCTAATAGATTCGTTTTTGCTAACTCATGAGATTTTCTAAGTTTAAGTGTTAAATTATCTAAATAATCTTCATATGTATATTTGAGTTCTACTGGTCGTATTATACTGCTAGGTAGATTAGGTGTATATCCAAATATTAGTTCATATGGTGTGAATTTGGTTGAAGTATGATTAGTTGTATTATATGAAAACATAGCAAAATCTAGCCATTCGTCCCAATCGGATTGATCAGCTTTAATATAATGTTTAAGGTAGTCTGCTAAAGTAGCGTGACTCCTTTCTAATGCAGCATTTGATTCTGGATGATAAGCAGTACAATTTATATGTCTGATTTTAAAAAGCTTGGCGATTTGAGAAAATAATTTGGAAGTAAAATCTCGGCCTTGATCAGTAACTATTATATCGGGTTTTCCAAACTTGCAAATAAATCCACGAACCAGATTTTCAGCGATAGTCTTGGTTTCATGATTCGGAATTGCATAAGCTTGAGAAAATTTTGTTAAGTCATCTTGTAATGTTAATATGAACTTATTACCTGACTCGGTTAAAGGTAAAGGACCTACTATATCTAAAAATATTTTTTCTAATGGATTTGAGCTTGTTGTTGTTATCTCCATGGGCTTTACGAATTTTTTTCTAACGAGTTTATTTTTCTGACAAGATTCACAGGTTTTTATAA